TGTGTTAATCACGATTTGCTATTTTAACTCTTTCACTAAAAATGCAACATTATTTTGCATACTCATAAAGAAAATATTAAATAATACAATCGGTAATAAGAAACTATCTTCAACAATATATTAGTTGCCTATAGATATGCTATCAACTTTTATTGTTAACTATTTCTTCAAATCCTTGAATTTTATATATGTATATAGTTTATTCTTGGCGAACTTGTGAAAATTGGAAATCAAGGGTATTACTATTCGATGGCAAACTAAAAATGCTTCTAAAACAACTTTTTGAATCGCCAAAGTATCTGCAATAGTTTTTATAAAATTGCATTTTTACACTTTGCAAATTTTATAAGTTGTAAAAACCAATATGGATTCTGCGAAATCGAAATGTTTAAAAATGCAATATCTCGAGAACCCCTTGAGATATTTTAGAAATTCAAAAAGTCGTTTATATAACACTTTCAATTTGCCATCGAACTGTGTTAATCACGATTTGTTGTTTTAACTCGTTCACTAAAAGTGTAACATTAATTTGCATACTCATATAGAGCATCAAATATCACAATCTGTAGTAATAAATCAACTATAAAAATATGTTAAATAACCATATATATACTATCAACTTGCATTGTTAACTATTTCTCCAAATCCTGAATATTTATTTATTAGAAATAATTTTTAAAGAATTTAATTTCCAACAAATTCACTAAATATTTCATTTATATCCAGTTTGAATAAAAAATTGCATCACCAACTCAATATTTCATATGTATCGATTTTATTCGATCTTTCCCTTTTAATTAAATAAATAAAATGGATGTCATTCCATTTCTAATTACTAATTACTAATTAAAATATTGAATTATGTTTTTTCATATGTAATTTTAGATTCGTATTACGATTGTCTCGTGTAATCACAAAATAATAACATGAGATATATGAAATGATAAGCTAAAATAAAATCGTTTGTGTATATATAAATATAGGATAATAGTAGGAGAGCTGGGGTGAAAAGTGAATTAGTGGTGTATGGCATCGTGCCTTAAGGCAAATTGCTGGAACTTCCCGTATCGTAATGAAATATTCTAAAAATTTTAAACTCTTTCAAATATATGATTACAAATGCTGTGACTTTCATTATTTTTGCTATCTTGTTATATCTGAGCAAATAATCAAATGTAAATCAAATCATAAAACAATTTATCTCCAGAACATTAACAATCGTCATTTCATTTCGAATTCAATTTCAAAAAAAAATAGTTGCCTAATTTACACAAAATTGAAAAAGTGCTCCCGTATAGTCACAGTCTAAACGCATTTGCAAATAATTCTGTGCGACATTTTCACTTATATTGTGCTTAGTTGACGGCATTTTCACATTTTTCAATAGTTTTCATTTCACAAAATCGGAAAAGTAACGGCTGGACCTGCCTTTGCCAAAAACTAATCAGCACATCTCCTTATCAATAGGAATCGAATGTTTTTTGCACCATTCAAATCGGTTGATCCGTGCGCCCGAAAACGTGGACGAAAAAATGCGGACATACAAAACACACACACACGCAGACACATCCATTTTTTTGAGGTATGCCAAAATGTTCAGAAACCTTCAAAACGTCGAGAAATGCAAAAATGTTCATTTTCGATTTTCGGCTCATTACTATAACTACCCTACGGGAAGTTAAAAATACAAGCAGTCAATGAATGTATGTTAATTTCAATTATATGAAGTTCTTCAAACACGAATATTATATGATGATGAAGAAAATTGTGAAAACAATATTTGTTTGGGCGTCGTTTAGCATAATCCACTGAGTGAACAAATATTATAGAAGTTATTTATCAGCAATTACTTCATTTCTCAAATTAAGGTTTATTTCTAAATGCTAATTGCAATGACAAATCGATCAGGTCGTATTTGAAGTATGACTTTAATTGCATTATTGTTTTGAAATATTTTAAATATTTTTAATATTATTACAAATTTATAAATTATTATTATATAAATAAAAATATAAAATATATAAAGGTTGACACTAATAATTATGTGCATCACGAGTGTTACCATATTACTAAGAAACATTATTCAAAATTGTTGTATGATGTATTTATTTTTACTTGAATGCCGTCTTGTACAGTAGCAAATAAGGTTTACTTCAATCGCGTATGAACCTTAGGAGCACTCTTTTTTATATAAAACTACCCAAGATCTATTACAATATGTTAAAAGACTTAAATCTAATTATTACCTAATCATACCGTTACGATACCTAAGACCATCAGTTCCTACATAGATATATATATATATATATATATATATATATAATATATATATTACCGCTTTATCATTATTTGCTATTAACTTATTATATATAACATATACCCTACGTATCTTTTTACCCCTTACAAACCTTACATACTACTATTTAAACGCTATATTTTACGCTTATCTATTATCTATTGTCTCTACCGTATACTCTATTGTCTATCGCCCACACCGGGAATCGAACCCAGGACCACCGCGTGGCAGTCCACAGCCTTAACCACTACTCTATTGGGTCCCCCACAAATAATATATTAAGAGACGCATTGTTCTTTCCGCTTTACCTATTAATTAAGTAATTAATACTAATACTAAGGCGACGCGACGACACGCGAAAAAAGGCGACCAATCGTAGCGCCACGGTGGTGTAGTGGTTAAGGTCGTTGCCTTCCACGCAGAGGGCTCGGGTTCGATTCCCGGTAGGGTTCGGAAAAATTAGCGTTTAAGAAACATTATAGGTGTAAGATAAGAAATAATATTGGGCGTATTGTGTATATAGGGTAGTAGGCGTATTAGGCGTATTAGGCGTATTAGGCGTACTATATAGTTAGTTAAAAGGCGTACAACATAGAATTTAAGGTTTAGGCATACGTGAATATGGTAGAGGTATCTTATAAGGAATACATGTTATATGATAATCGTAAGCACAATTTTGATACGGGTACTGTATAAAGTGCATTTTTATCCTTATAACAACTTTTTAAATATTATTTTATTAATGGCAAATAAAAGAAATACGTGACCATACATTTAATTTTTGCAGCCACGAGTACAAGTTTTGCAGTTTATTAAATATTTCAAATTCAAAATAGGTATTGTTGGACTAAGAAAACAAAAATAAATGCTTGAAAATACAATTTATATTTTTTACCAATATACATGTGCAAGGTGTCCCAGAACTCAACCAACATGTTCCTCTTTATGTCTGTTCGTCACGTTCGTTTTTGATAAATTTATAGAATAAACATTATAAGAACCATGTAAAATTTTAATGCTATTATAAATATATAATTTATAATTTATCATTGTATAAATGTGTATAGTGGCCGACACTAATAAATGTGTGGCATCACGAGTGTTACCATATTACTGATAAACATTATTCAAAATTGTTATACGATATATTTATTTTACTTAAATGCCATTTGTACAGTAGCAAATAAGTTTTACTTCAATCGCGTGTGAACTTACGCGCACTCTTTTTTTTTCTATTTTTCCAGTTTCTGTGAGAGAAAAAAATGACCAAGTCGACAACGAATTGGATGACTCCATAACATTCAAAATGAAGACAACATGGTTTTTTAATCAGGAAAAATCAGCACCACTTACTGGAGACGAACAAATCGTCATACCACATCCCTTCATCCTGGTAAGTAACCATAATACTCTAATCAACTTGGTATACTCTTAAAATTCATCCAAAACTTCTAAATTCCAAAGCTTTTTTTTTTCCTAGGGACTAGGGATAAAGTGCAGAATCAAAACCGGGCATGTGGGCATCGTAAATAGGGCCCTTCCTATTATTTATGACAACCAGACGACCTGTTTTTGCGAACCAGTGCAAAGAGGCCCTTTTCGAAGGGTTCGTTATCAAATGCAACAGGGAGGAATTCCAGGCCCAGGCTGTGTGTATAGGGATGAAAGACGAGGGAAAGGGTTGAGGAGCTGGAGGGAGGGGATTTGAAGTATTCGTTTTCGGATATGTAAGTGAAAAGACCATTTTTTTTTATTAAATATTTCAGATAAATAACAGTCAAGTGCTAAATAGAAATAAACTATTTTATCTGATACTGAACCTTGATAAAAATAAATTAACATGACAAATTGAAGGCAAAGGAATTATGTCGATATAATTATGTCGATAATTTTGTAATCACTTTTAAAATGTCATCGATACCCTGCAGGACATTTTCGATATATCGAATATATAACGTCATTATTATATATATAATTATATATATATTATATATACAGAGAATAAAATTATTGACCCAATTGCCAATAAGTTGTCATTACGTATTTATTTATAAAATTAGCGTTCGTATTTGTCATTTTTAGTATATACCGAGTTGTTGTAGAGATTTTTGATGTTAGACAATATTATTTATTATATAATTTTAAACAAATTGTCCATACATATTATTTATATTAAACGAATAGTTTAAAAGTTAAATACAATATATTAAAGTAATACGTTTTTGTCAAAATAAAATGTTTATAAAATTAGCGTTCGAATTTATGATTTTTAGAGTATACTGAGTTGTTGTAGAGACTTTTGATGTTAGACAATATTATTTGTTATTTAATTTTGCACAAATTGTCCATATACTTAAATTATATTTAGCAAATAATTTAAAAGTTATACTATTATATTGTGATGCATTTCTATCAGGATAGTGTTTTTACTTACTAGCACTTTTTACATTTTACGTTTTATTTATTAAAATGTTGACTTTAGGTCAAAAGAACATTTTAGTAAATTATAGCTTATAAAATTCTTTAAAAACTTTTCGTGCACCAAAAAATTGTACAAATTTTGCAAATAGTCTTAAATCACTTTTAAAAATCGAATTTCGAAAGCAAAAGTACTAAAGGCAATAATATGATAAATGATAAATGAATAAACATAAATATTTCTTATTCATTTTTACTTCTTTTATTAGTATTTTTTTTTTTTTAGAGAAATAACACAGCCCTGGATTCGTTCACAATTTCGAGAGGTTTGAGAAACGTTGGAGATTTAGGAAAAGTATTAAAATTCAGAGGTTCTCAAACATTAGATATGTGGATGAGAGACGATGAAGATGATGACCCTCCTAAAAAACCAGGTCAGAAAAATAAAATTGTAATAGAAATATAATTGTACGAAATCTTCTAGTATTTTGTGAATTTTAAGGCTTGTAGTTACTTTTGGGTATATATGTTATTTACGAAAAAAATAAAGAATTTCATACACTTCCATAGAATGCAAACATATTTCCAAAATTTTCATTAGGAAAAATGTTATGCCTAAAAAACCTAACGAATGCACTAATGCAGGGTTTGATTACTATAATAACAAAACAAAAAGTTTGTGCATTTTTAATTTATTTTCCATATAACTTACAAAAATTCGGTATTCACAAAAGTATCGAAAAATTTCATGCAAATTTATTTGGCTTAATCAGTTTCCCAAAAATGTTATTAAGAAAAAAGTTATCGTAAAAAAAAACTAAACAAGTATACTCATGTCGACTGTTTTTCTTATTATTTTTCAGTTAATGAGACTAAATCTTGTACAAAATTAAGAGGCACCGATTCGACGATTTTTCCGCCCTTTTTGGAACCCTCAGAGGGTCTGTGGTCATTTTCTTCGGATATTTGCAGGTCAACAGCCGCAATTTATGAAGGGGAAGGATATTATAAGGGTATTCCTATCAGGAGGTAATATAGAAAAAAGTACAATTGTTTGAAAACCATTCGATTAATATGATTGATGTATTAGGCAAATTTGTTTAAAATTAAATAATAAATAACAATGTCTGACACTATAACACTCTACAGCAACTCGGTTTTCTCAAAAATGCACCTCAAAACAGCATTTATTATTTGGGTATTCCTATCAGGAGGTAATATAGAATAAAGTATCTTTGTTTGTTGCATCGTTTATAACTTGAAAACCATTCGATTAATATGATGTTGTATTTGGCAAATTTGTTTAAAATTGAATAATAAATAACATTGTCTAACACTATAACACTCTAGAACAATTCGGTTTACTCAAAAAATGACATAAAAAATGCACCTCAAAACAGCATTTATTATATGGGTATTCCTATCAAGAGGAAATATAGAGAAAAAGTACCTTTGTTTGTTGCATCGTTTATAACTTGAAAACCATTCGATTAATATGAATGATGTATTCGGCAAATTTGTTTAAAATTTAATAATAAATAACATTGTCTAACACTATAATACTCTACAACAACTCGGTTTACTCGAAAAATGACTTAAAAAATGCATTATTATTTTATGTTTCAGATACAATGCAACGTTTGGAGACCCCAAAACCGACCCTGACGCCAAATGTTATTGCCCAAAAGACCCCAGACCTTGTCCTTTAGCAGGTAATTATATCCTAAATAATAATAAAGGATAATTTCTACTATTTGTGTCCTTTTTTAGGAACTTTTGATCTGAGTCCTTGCACAGGAGCCCCAATAATTGCAAGTTTGCCCATTTTTTTGCAGCTGATCCTAAATTAGTTAAGGATATAAAAGGATTGAATCCTGATAAGGATAAACATGGAATTTTTGTCGATTTTGAATCGGTAAGTATATAAAAAATTATTGTGATAAACACAATATGTTATTTTATATATCAAAACGTAGACGCACTTTTTTTATATTTTCTGTATTATATAAAAATCTTGTATGAAAGTAGGGCAAGTTTTACACATCGGTGAAAAGGAGATGAAATTTACTATAAATCTGTGTTTATTAATAAATAATATCAGGAACGAAATTATTTACAAAAAAACACTAAACTTTGCTAATAGATTGAGACAACTTCAAAATGGAGGTATTTTGGTGCGCAATTTTTTGCTCTAAATTATAGAATTTTTGTTCAAGTACATATATATTTTTATATATCAGCTAAAAGCTAATAAAATTTACTATAAAACCACATTAACCGATTATTAACACCCGAAACAAAATTATACACAATAAATCGACAAACTTTGAAGTCTTTTAGAAGCACTGTTAAAATTGATGCATTTCATGCGCCATAATAAATTGATTTTTTTCAAATTTAGTTCTGTTTTTCGGAAATCTATTTGAACATATATGTTTTTATATATCAGTGAAAAACTAATAAAATTTACTATAACACTGTGTCTAGATTAATAAGAATTCGAACAAAATTATGTAGAAAAGAACACTAATCGCTGAACTTTGAAATTGAAGCAGTTCATATCGAAAAAGGGTTATATTTGCCTACTTTTTGCTCTGTTTTATTAAATTTTATATAAAGACATAGATATTGTTATATATTAAACCGATCATTAACACCCGAGACAAAATTATAAACAATAAATCGACAAACTTAAAACTCTTTTAGAAGCACTGTTAAAATTGATGCATTTCATGCGCCATAATAAATTGAATTTTTTCAAATTTAGCTCTGTTTTTCGGAAATCTATTAGAACATATATGTTTTTATATATCAGTGGAAAGCTAATACAATTTACTATAACACTGTGTATCTAGATTGATAAGGCTTGGAACAAAATTATATAGAAAAGAACATTAAACGCTGAACTTTGAAATTGATGAATTTCATATCGAAGATAGGTTATATTTGGTTACTTTTTGCTTTGTTTTATAAAAATTCTATATAACGACATAGGTAATGTTATATATTACTAAAAAGCTGAAATATTTTACTATAAAACCACATTAACCAATTATTATCGCCCAGAACAAAATTATAAACAATAAATCGACAAACTTTGAACTCTTTTAGAAGCATTGTTAAAATTGATGCATTTCATGCGCCATAACAAGTGCATTTTTTCAAATTTTGCTATGTTTTCCGAAAATCTTGTATTAGAATATATTTTTATATATCAGTGAAAAGCTAATACAATTTACTATAAGACTGTGTATCTAGATTAATAAGACTTGAAACAAAATTATGTAGAAAAAAGCATTAAACGCTGAACTTTGAAATTGAAGCTTTTCGTATCAAACATGGGTTACATTGTTTTACTTTTTGCTCTGTTTTATAAAAATCTTATAGAAAGACATAGATATTGTTATATATTACTGAAAAGCTGATGGAATTTGCTATAAATCCTCATCAGCATGTTTGTAAACTCTGGAACAAAATTTTGCAAGAAAAAGCCTCAAACTTTAAACTTGTATATGTACTAAGGACTATGCTCATCAATAAGATTATACAAAAATCTCAGAAGGACATTGCTTGAAAATGGACCTCATAATAAATAATTTCAAGACGTTTTGCCCCAAATTCTACGTTTTTGTACCCAAACAAAACTTGCTAATACAACAACTGTGTTTATATATTAAAA